TAAATAAAAAATAAAATACTTCATTTTTTTACCAAGCTAGAAGATTACCTATGTGTTAATCAAGAGAATACTACATCCGCATTTGTTATCTTTGTCTTGTTTATATATTTACATTATAGTATGAATGTAGGTAAAATATTACAAAAATTCTCATTAAACTTATTTAAAAATGAATATATTGCAAAAAATCAATGAGAAAGCACCTATCTAATACTCACATATAAGTTTAATAATAGATCAAATCACTTAATCATTAAAGCTTATTACGCAAAAATGCTGGACACTTATTTTGCTATATTCATGTAGAGACGAAAATATTTTATTTGTTTAATTATACAATATTTTAGTAACCAACAGTATAATTAGTAAAATCAATTATTTATTTTATAATTCATAAATTATACATTTATGAAATATATATTCCACAGTACTTTTTCATTCATTCCTCCTTTATGTATGATTTTCCAATCAAAATTAAGCATTATCCGAGTAGAATATTGACAATCACTAATAATTCGGACCTCACTTTTAAATTTTATATTTTTACTTCTGTGAAAACTGTTTTGAAATTAATACATAGTATACTCGTATGTAGATACTTTTGTTATTACTATTATTACAATTACTAACATTTAACATTGTATTTTAATCTAAATAYTAATTATTTGTCTATACCATTTTTATTTTGAGTGTTTAGCTTGTATAGATTATTAATAAATATGGTTACACGAAACAAAAAAAATGAGATATAATGTTAAGTTCTTTAAATCGATCAGCTTTTATAATAGTGCTACCTATACATGGCGTATTCCTAAATATATATAACGATTCATATTTAAAGCCTAAGGGCTAAGGCCTAAACTTTAGGTATGGTCTAAAAACCTAGGCCACGGCCCTCGTCGAACAATTTAATCAGCTCATAAAATCGTCGGGCGGCTAGGTTGTAGGCCGTGGCGGCTCCAGAGCCTTGGTTGGGAGGGGGGCCAAGTTAATTTCACAAAACTTTATAACAAAAAAATTATCTATAGAATAAAATTATAACAATTCTTATCAAGATAATATTCTGAGTACCTATTTGAAAGTATTTCCCGTAATCCGTACAAAAATATATGATACGCAATTCATTTTTCGAAGTTTTGAACATAATAAAATAATAATATCATAGTATCACATCATGTCATCATGGTATATTTTATAGTTTATTTATAGCCTTAGCCTTATCATAGCTTCATCAGCATTCATCTGGTACATCGTATATTCGTATATACTGTCATACTCTAAGGCTATATCTATACATACTTTATGCATGTCACATAATAGTCAACATTTTAATATGATTTTTTTTGTCATTTTTTTTTTTTTAACAAGTAATATAAATTGTTTTTTAAATGGTCTTGGGAGGGGATTGCGGTCCCTAGGCCCCTCTGGCTTGTAGGCACTATGAGAAGGTTATAGACAGTCCTGTCCGCCTCAAATGGCGCTCTTGGGTTTACATTAAATATAATAGGTGTTGACGTGTTGTATAGTACTTATGCGGAACATAAGTTATAAGTTATGCGCTATAAGTTCATAATAATATGTTATAACAACAGCGCTCTCGTCATGTACATAATTTCATTGTTTCCTCATTATTATTGCATTTCATAGGTACTATTTTCATTCATCGCGTAACACACTAATAATACAGTTCAGTGWCACAGTTTTGGACGTTTTGGTTAAAAAGAAGACGCGATAGGTATTAGGMAAAAATAATAATACGCGATTCGGAACCGCCGAGCGGGTGCGTTACATTTACATAGCAATTTCGCACTTCGGCGGAGCTCCGTCCGGATTGTGGTCTCCGCCGGCCGGGGGAGTGGGAGATCTGCAAGTTTATCGTAACTCGTAACCCAGCGAGCACCGTCACTAACGGGGCCCAGGGCCGCCGCRCTCTCGCGACGGCGCCTAAAATAATAATAATGTCTTTGAACACGGGCACGGTCGAGAATTCGAGATGCAGGCCATCGCCCGTCTCGCGTGCGCCGTGCGCGCAGGTGTATCCGTGGTGGTGTGGTGCACCCGCCGCCACCCACCCAACGCCGTGGAAAGAATCAAAGAACGAAACACCCGTCCGATCACTCGTCCGGCTTATCCGCGGCGGCTCGACGACGGCGCACCGTGAACTCGACACCGACGTCGTCGGTGGGCTGGTTGTTTCTATATTATACTATATAGGTTTTTTGCGTTACTACATAGTAATAAYAATAACGTAGAACCTACTTTCATAACGCGCATGCGTACTATATTGTAAATAACATTATTATTATTTCGTATTGTATAATAATAATAGTAATAATATAGTTTGGTAGTGCATTAGTGGTGCGGGTATACTCGTGTGTTGCGTACACACACACACACCGACGTACACGATAACGGCGCACATTTTGCGGCGGTGGGTCGGGGCGCGGTGACAGCGGGCGAGATAGTGGCACGATGATTCGTAGTCGCTAGTCACTACTCGGTACTCTCGGACTTCCTCAGTACAACTCGTTACTCACTGTGCTAGCGTACTGCGGTGTCGGTGTGTTGGGTGAGGCGCCTGTTATCTATATTCTGCTCTCCCCGTGGCTCGTTTTGTTGTCACCGCCACTACAGCGGCCGGACGCGGTATTGCGATAATCCGTTGGCGTTTTCACTGTAGTCCGCGTCGCTTTCCTGCGGCCACGGACCCACCCACCCACGCAACGACGACTATGATGCTGTTYTGACGCTGCCGATTGGAAAACCATCACGATGCAAACCATTTCGGTGAGCAATTGCCTGCAGGATTCGCCCAATTTCAGGTAAGTCACCAGCCATTATTTCCTTAGGGTTGGTGGGTCCAAATAATTTTATGCCGATTTAAGACTGATATCATTGGATTGTAAATTATTTTGAAAACATTCAAACGAGATATTTATATTAGAATACCTAGGTATTGAAATAATTATTCTGATTGACAATTGACATTCACTAATAATACTTATGGCCTGCCATAASGTAGAAATAATTTCATACTTACTTATATTTTTAAAATCTCTAACTGCAGTTTTCCTTGATTAAAACTAATAAATTGATATTCTCGTGTCCTTATAAGTACCTATTTTAAGATGTRCAAAAAGTTTATAACTTTAAAATACTCATAACTCACTCCAAAATTAAAATAAAAATCCCACGTGGTCKTSGATATAAAATTCTTGCCTTTAAATTTCTTTAYACGAGGTCAATTCACTCTATTCAGTCTATATTGTTTTAAAATCTAGTTTCTAAGTTTTAGTTAAAACAAATTTAATTGGTTATTGATATTCAAATCATTAAGATTATCTCTTGGACAATCCACAAATAGRTACCTACTACTTTTTTATTTTACATTCAAAATAACTTATAATATAAGTAGGTTCCTATGACTAAAAAAAACTAATGAAATAATATTGTATTGTTATGYAATAAATTAATTCTTCAATTAACACAATGTGTCTATAATTCTTTTTACATGTATAAATTTGGACCATATATTCTTGGTCTGTTTCAGAGTAGAGTGTAGACAATGCAGTTACTTATTTATTTGAAACATTTGAACTTTTATTTTTTATTCTAWACCTTAATTTCTCCCGTAGTTAAATTACTTATTTTAAAAATATGAACTCATCCTTATGTCTATACAGTTATTGTATTAAAAACACCATCAAACATTCCCTATTTAAAATTGATCCCATTAGTTATGTACACAAACATCACTTAAAATGTTTGTTGGGAACCTTAAAACATTTTATATTTAAAAATAAAATAATTTGGTAATCTAAAATATTTAATGAAATAATAATGTAAAAAAAATACATRTATTGTATGTTTTAGAATTAGGCAATAAGAAACAATAYATTGAATTGTAATTTTTATTCTAATAATGAAGATTATTATTTATACCTATATGATATTAATTTTTGTTCCTATACTGTGTTTCAAAAGAGAACAGTCATTCCGATTGATTGAATTATTTAAATATACYAATTAAATGTAATTGTTTAACAAAATGTTAAATTATAAAATTATTTGTAAAAACCAAAAAGGTGAACTTCCTATTGAAATTTAATTTTAGATTCTGGTACATATTTTAAAGAAAAAGTCCACTACTTTAAATTATAATCAGTCGAAAAGGTATTATTTTGAAGAATGAGACTTAAGAGGGGTAGTGAATTTAGATACTTAGGAATGTGAAAGTCAGTAGTAAAGTGTTCATGATAAATAATTTATGTACATTTAGTATTTTACTTTTTTTTAGTCTGGTTATAAGAAGGGTGTCGATAAAAATAGACAACGCACCCACCTCAGAAAATATAAAAGCTTGTTATGCCAAAGTTTTTAGCATTATTCAAAAAAATTGAAAAATACAACTAAAAAAATTTATCAAACCTACTTTAATCATAGTGAATTCTAACTCTTTAAAATGTTTATTGATTATTTATTGTGGTATCAAGTTTGAGTTGTGGTTAAATTGTACATAGGTAAATATAATAATTGATTATGTTTAAAATTTTTAATATTTTTGGAAATTGAATAGATACAATGTTAACCATTTGTTACTAATATTTAAAAGTATGATGGAAAATTCATCAATTTGGAATTTAAAATAATTTCTTATAGGTACTTTATCTGTATACTAAATTACTTTTACTATATAAAYTATATCATATAGTATATAAATTTATTTTTATACTTTAAATATTTTATTTCAGGACACAGCTTGATCGTCATGAGTCCAATATTGATTTACTGGAACATAGGTTAGAAAAGGTAATAATGTTGTTTTAGAGATTTTGACTGTGATTSCTTTGTATCACAATTCACCTTAACTTTTAAAATAATTTATTATTATTAATTTAGGTTGTAAAAGTATACAGTCTTATGATTGATTCTGGGAAGACATATGTAAGTCAACAATCATTATTTGCAAATAGTTTGTGGGAAATGGGACTTTGTTTCCGCGATGACACATCATCCACTAAAAATTTGAATAAAATAATTCATGCTCTTCAAGAAATGAACAAATTTTTAACAACTTTCCTRGATCAAGCATCACGGACTGTTTTGAACAACTTAACAGTATTTGTCAAAGAGTGAGTTTTTAGAATATTTCATTAATATAATGGTAACTAAAAATATATAATCCTAATTTACTTTTTTAGAGATATTAAAGCAAGTAAAGAATCTAAGCATGTATTTGAAAAGGCAACATATGAGCTTGACGCTGCCCTATTAAGAAATTCCCAGGTATTAAAATCTCGTCCACACGAAGCAGATGAACTACTAAGTCAAGTTGCATCAGCAAGAAGCGCTTTTCGTCATGCTGCTTTGGATCATGTGCATTGTATTACTATGCTCTTAACTAGGAAAAAACCTGAAATATTTTCAACAGTAAGTAGTTAATTAGTTTTTATTTTTTGTTATTATAACACAAGTTGTTCTTAGTCAAATGTGTCAGTCACATATGTAACATTTTAATGACATACAAAAATATTTTTAYTGTTAAATCTTGAATTTAATGAAAAACAGTTGCATAAAATGTACTTTATTATTTTTTAACAATGTTGTTRATAATTATAATATTTTTAACATTTGGAACTGACTTCCAGTCATTTTATAAAAAATATATTATTTAATATTAAACGCTAATTATTTACATACAAAATCAGTTGTTAAAGTCAGTTCTCTATGATTAGAAATTGATCATATTTGATTTACATTGATGGCAGATGAATAAAGTAGTGGATGCTTTTGTTTCATTTAACCTTCACAAATCCTACCTCAATATTTTAAAGTAAATTCAATGAATAATTGGAACAAAAATCACATCAAAATGTATGTTCAGTAGCGTCATTAATCCGGTATAGATATTCAGATAATTGTCAATCTATTATTTATATTACAAATGGGAGACTGAGTGGCTGAGTAAGCCATCAACTGCAAAGCTCACCATCACTGGTTCTAGCCTTGGTCACGAGCAGCACCTCTCTTAGGGCAGTCGCAGTATCTGGAGGGATAGGCCATCATCCACCACTTGGGCATAGTAGAAACATACGGGTGCCGCTAGAAATTCTGCCAAATAGTCGTCCTAACTAGGTCTTTGTGCCTACTCCCGTGCATAGCGCCATGCAAAAAAAAAATGCATACAAACTTATTATGTAATCATGGATATTTATCCATCCCTATATTACTATAAATACAATGATTAAAAATGTACTATTAGCTGAAAAATAAAATTTTTTWAAAATTGATTTTGAAATTTTTGCTCTTTAATAATTAATTTTCAACATATAAATTATAAATTAAAATATTTATTTCTTGTTTTAGTTATTATCTTATATTCAAGCTTGGTGTACATATTTTCATCAAGGTTTTACACTAACTGAAGACTTACAAGATTTTATTCAAAATCTGAACAAAGAGGTAATTGCAATGACTGCTGAAGCAACTGAAATGGAAAATCAACTGAGTGAACATCACAAATTGGTTGACAGGTTAAAAATTGATGTTTATAAAATAATTATTGTTAACAATTCATTATCCTTAATTGTAATAAATGTTATTTTGAAATTAAAGTCATGATACAGTTATGGTAAATGGTGATTGTGAAAATGGTGTCAAGGGTAAGGATGTGACACGCATTGAAGGCTACCTTTACAAGCGAACAAGTAATGCTTTCAAAACATGGAATAGACGATGGTTTTACTTAAAGAATAATCAGTTGGCTTACCGTAAAAGAAATGGTTTGTAATTTTATTAACAGTAGTTTTCTTTGTTGTATATAAATAATATATCTATATAAAAATGGAGACAAAAATGTATAACAATTCATCAATTGAGAACGGCTGAACCGATTTCGCGCACTCTTTTTTTTGTTTGAGTCGTACTTGCCAGGAGAAGGTTCTTACGGATGAAAAATTTGAGAAAGTTATCGGGTTAGAGAAATATGATGAGGGTGTGATGAAATTAAAGTGGCGCCATCTGCCCAGTAAAAAATAAAATAAATAATATTAATATGTTTTGGTAGTCAAAGGCAACCATTTAAACAAACAAGTGCTCTTGAGAGCAGCTGGACTTATTTTTAGGATGGACATTTTTGTTTATTTATAAATGGTTGCTTTAGTGACGGTTATTATTAGAGGTTATTATTGTTCTGTTATTAGTGATGGTTATATATATATTTATCTGTTAGTCCTATATACATTCTTAAACAGTGACAAAATTTGGTACAGAATTTTATTAGACATATGGGCAGAAGATATGGTAAGTTAGAAAGTGTTATGCCTAAATATCATTGAATTGAATATTTAAATTGCCAAAATTATATTGAAAAAACGAAGAGAATTACATAATGATATACGGAATTGAATATCATTGTATGATTATAATATATTTTAACCACTATCTATCATTATGTATAAAAATATACTGATAGCATCATCACATGAAATGAATTTTAACACACAATATAAACTATGGACCATAAAAGAGATAGAATTTTTAACGGGCTACGAATTGAACGGGTTCAGCTAGTTTACAGTAAATGAACAAAAAAAAAAAACAAATTCTTAAGTTAACTTTAATTTTCTCTATATTATGTTGGCTGAAATAACAATAATATTTATGCATTGTCTTAACRCAGAATTTTATAACTGTTTTATCAATCCTCAATGTAATTTTTTAGGTGAAAATCTATTTACAGTAATGGAAGATGATTTAAGAATTTGTTCTGTGAAGCCAGCATATGATTCAGAACGAAGGTTTTGTTTTGAAGTCTTATCTCCAACTAAGTAAGTGCTAGTATAAAATGTTTATCCCAATTAAACTAGCTAAATAAATGSTTTTTTCTTTTTTTGAAGAAGTCACATTTTACAAGCTGATTCTGAGTATGTATACAAGTTGTGGATAGAAGCTCTTCAACAAGGTATTGAAGATGCAATACGTAATCGACCACAACAAAAAACTAATCAAGATGATGATGATTCTAATGATTTGAATGAACAATTTCAAATTCCAAAAATTAAAAAGTCTAAGTAATTTTTTTTTTTTGAACACAAATTGTTTTGATGTTAAAAGTTTTATTTAATTATTTTTTTTAAATTAAATCAATTTTAATTACTTAGAACATTGGATGTGCTCGTTAAAATTCCTGGTAATGAAAAGTGTTGCGATTGTAAAGCACCAAATCCAGATTGGGCTAGCATAAATTTGGGTATTACATTATGTATTGGTTAGTGTTTAATGTTATACTAAAGAATATAATTAATATATTTTCTACCTATATTTAACATTTTATCAGCAAATTTTTATACCATTTTCTTTCTTAAACATAAATAAAATTTCTTATTTTAGAATGTTCTGGTGTACATCGTAGTCTTGGCGTTCATTATAGTAAAGTCCGTTCATTAACACTTGATGACTGGGAACCAGAGATTTTGAAAGTTTTGGCTGAAGTTGGAAATTCTGTTGTTAATGAAGTGTATGAATATAATGTTCCTGATACAGTTATACGTGCTTCAGCAAAATGTCTTGGGTAGGTCTATAATTATAATTTATTGCTACCCTGTTAATTTAATAAATTGTAATTGATATTATAATATACATTTTAGCCCAATTCGTGAACAATGGATTCGAAATAAGTATGTTGATCGCTTATTTGTAAAACCAATACCTAATAATGAATTGGTTGTGGAAGAATATAATCCAAGAAAATGGAGTGTTCGCAAAGTAAGGCGACGAGGAACCCAATCTACGGTAAAAAATGAGAAAAAGGATAATGTCATGGTAATTGGTGGCAACACTAGAAGCATATCTTTAGATGTTATAAGTAGCGATGATGATTCTACAATTAGTGATGATGGAACAGATGGTTAGTATATTAAAAAAAACCGTTTTAATTGCTTAATAATTTTTATTAATTTTTACAGTTGTAGAAGAAGATATATCTACATTGAGTCCTGATATGTTGCTTTACCGAGCTGCTGCTGCACATAATCTACCAGTAATGTGTCATGCAATAGCAACTGGAGCAGACAAAAATTGGAAGAATCCAAATGACAATGGACGGACTTCACTCTTTCAAGCTATACTCAGTGTAAGGTTCATTCTATTTATTCACATACATGATACATTAATACATTTTTGCTTTTTCTTAAATTGTAATTTATATATGATTAAGTGGCTTATTATTTTAGGGTTCTGTGATGGCTTGTGAGTATTTAATACTCAATGCAACTGACATAAACATTCAAGATGATCATGGTCAAACTCCTCTGTTTTTTGCTACACAATTGGGTAAATTTATTATCCTTGCTCAGCATACATTATCTTTATACAGTGTGGTTTTTCTATATTCTCACCCTATTTTTATGCTTAAGTTATGCATATATTTAAATTCTAATTTTTTGAATTCTCAAATACATTTAAAGACAATATTTTCAAATGCTTGTGTTTTTTACTGCTTAAGGGTTATCCTGTGATAATAAGAATAGGAACCCCCTCTAAAAGCGAATACGTTTCAATAGATATTTATTTTGAGCATTTTGACATTCTKAATTAAAATTCAAGTGAGACTAGTTTTTGAGTTATATAACTTTGTATATTAGGGATAATATGTTTATATGACGCTACACTCTTTATAAACAGCTGGACCAATTTTGATGAAATATTTTTTTGTGTTTGAGCTGGTTCTTGGATGTTATAGATTCGATTCACAACTGAATCCAGAACGTCCAACCCGTTGAGGTGCTCAAATAGTAATTTTAAGATTTATGAATTTAATGATTTGGTTGCTAATAATTACAGCTTATATATCATAATAGTAATAGGGGAAATATTTAGTAGAATTATTAATTTCTTTTGTATGTAAATGATTATCATTGAGTACTCCCACAGATGAAGTAAATCATGCTTCAAATTGTGGCATTTATGATTTTGAATAAAATATATATATATATCTTAAAGCAAATATGAGAGATGAATATAATTTGTAGCTCATTCAGCTGATCAAAAACAATTTATCCAATTTTGAGAAAATTTTAAATTATTTTTGGAGATATCAAAAAAAATTAGAGAGTTTATTTTATAAATAAATTTTATAATTAGTTTGAACCATGTTTGATTTATACC